GATTTCTTCGACAAGGATAAAACCATATCATGTCAAGTAGATGTAGGTGCATTCATTTATTCAAAGTCGTTATATAAATGAATATTAATTAAATAATAATGATTGAGACCATTATTCAGGGTGGTGAGTTAGATATTTTTCATAGTCTCAAATTTTAGTTTATGCACTTAGATTTATCACTTAGATACTTTTCCGACATAATTGGTCATGGATTTTCAGGATATTATCACTTAGATGTAAATATTTTGACCGTACAGGGTTTTAGTCTTCCCACTTTTATAAAAGTGATGACACATTTGATCCTTCAAATATTACATTAATGACATTTTAAATCATCCATTTATTGGAGTTTATCCGGATTAATATTAATTAATTAAATAATTACGAAATTAATGTCGGGTTAAAACTATTTACCAATATACTGCTGGGCTTAACTCTGGTCGGGGAAAGTTGCCAAACCGTTTGGCGACTTATAAGTCGCCAAACCGGATGACGAATTATAAGTCGCCAAACCGTTTGGCGACTTTCCCCTGCACATAAACTTCGCAAGATGACTTTAGACAGAAAGAACGAGTGCAGCAACCAAAACATCTCCGTCAAAGATCGATTTCAGCAGTCAAATTTGACGACTACAGTGACTAGAAGGCTATTCCACCTATAAAGGATACTCCTCAACCATCTTTTTCAACCTCTTCAACTCTAGGTAAATCAAATCCCCAACTTCATCTCATTTTTTAACTTAGGGTTTTCAATCGATAATTTTCAAATTTGTAAATTACGAATTCATTTGTGAATTGATTTGTTGTGAAATGTGAATATGTATGAAATGCTGAATTTTAATCTTGAATTCAATGTAATTTTTTAATTTTGTTGTGCATTTGTTGTGTAATGTGAATTTAAATGTGAGATTTTGATATTTTTTTGTTAAAAAACTTATTATTTTTATTCTTTTAAGTGTGGCATATGTAATAAGATTTTCTTAACTATGAGAGTTTATAAATATGTTTTATGTCTATGAAATGTTTTTTGGTAGCCATGGAGTTGTCAGTGGATCCAGGTCCGAGTGATCGATCTGTCTTGACATTGTAGGCCACGCATAGAACTGAGGACGTGTGGTGTGGCTTCGATGTGCAGGTTGATAGGTGCCGAGAGCACCTTCGTAGTTTGTCCCAAGTGCAGGTGGATGATAGAGTATTAACATATGTTAGAGTAGCAGGTTTTTATGGTGTTCACAGATCGGTGGCTACTGTCCCACTTGATAGAGCGCTACTCATTGCTCTTCTTGAGCGTTGGAGGCAGGAGACACACACATTCCACCTCCCAGTTGGTGAGGTGACAGTGACCTTGGGGGATGTGGTTGTATTGACGGGGTTACAGGTCCATGGGAGAGCAGTTACAGGTACTGCGTGTCGGCCATGGGTTGAGGATGTTGAGCGCTTGTTGGGTGTTCGCCCACTTCTTCGGACAGAAATTCATGGGTCATCTCTGAAGATGTCATGGCTGAGGGAGCATTTCGTTGTTCTTTATCCGGACGTTGATGAGGTGATGATTCAGCATCATGCACGATCATACATTTTGATGCTTATGGGAGCTTCCATTTTTGCTGACAAAAGTGGAAATGAGGTTCAGGTGCTACACTTGCCGATACTAGAGAGATTTGATGTAGCTCCACACTTCAGTTGGGGTAGTGCCACGTTGGCTTATCTGTATAGGCAGTTGTGTCACAGTTGTTAGAGTGGGAGCACGGAGGTTGGAGGGTTTCTGCGTCTATTGCAGATTTGGCAATGAGAGTACGTTCACATTGGATGTCCCATTATAGTACGATACCTTGGGCTTGATGGAGAACCACTTCATGATCAGTCCCATTATAGACGCGTACCATCAGGTTCTAACGAGCATTGCTTCCTTGTGTTCGGATGTGTTGGGGGAGTGGACTATAGCCATCTTATACATTTGACCCCCTCTCAGGATTCTACGCCATCGACATCTACAACACCAGCTTCTACATCCCAGACTCAGCATGACAGGGTTGTTCTTCAGCCACGTCAGCGGCGTAGGTGTATGCGTCAACAACAACACCTCCATGACCAGGATGACCAAGAAGACCTTCAAACCTTGTAGTCTGTCTCTATTATTGTACTTATTCATGTAGCCCGAATTTGTAGATTTTTTTTAATCTATGAAACACTGTATGACGAATTTTTTTTAGTTATTTAATCGTTTGTTTTTTATTTGTTTATGTGTTGGGTTATGTAAATTTGTTGAATTTTTTAGGCTTTTTGTTTTTGTTCAGTGTTTCTGACCAGAATTTGTGAAAATGTGTTATGTTTTCATGTGTTTTCTGAAGATTCTGATTTTGCAGGTGCAGGGGGGAAGTCGCCAAATGGTTTGGCGACTTATAAGTTGCCAAACAGTTTGGCGGCTTTCCCCGACCAGAGTTAAGTCCGACAGTATATTGGTAAATAGTTTTAACCCAGCATTAATTCTGTAATTATTTAATTAATTAACATTAATCTGGAAAAAACTCCATTTATTGTGTCAAAATAATAGTGGAAGGACTACGAATATCAATTTGATAATATATTAGGGGACTAAATGTGGGAAACTTTTAAGTCGAGTACTAAAAGTGTCTCTAAGACAATAGTCCAGGACTAAAAGTAGAAAATTTAAAAGTCGAGTACCAAAATTGTAACTGACATAATAGTCGGGGACCTGATAACCACCTTCGCGGTGTTGTAGTAAAACAGAGTCTAAACTTTCGGTTTTTCCCCGAGTATCGTGTCTCTTGAGGAATGGCGATGGAGTTTTCTTAATTTAGTCTTAGTCACGGGCTATCACTAATTGTTGGAAGCTTTTTCAGTACAAAAAGGGTGATTGTATTCTAGACTACGCCAATTTGCACAATTACACTAGAAGCAAATTTCAACTAAAAGATTTAAGATTAAATATTCTAAAAAATTATTGAGGCAAGTAAGGGCAATGAATTGAGTAATTGGAAATGGATATATTCTTGGACCTAGTAATTAGGGGAATTTAAAACTAAAATTGGACTAATAATTTCTTTTCTCATAGACAAGAATAGAAATTACTTTCATTAATTTATCCTATTTCTAGGTTTCATTAATGTATTCAAAAATGGTTGGCTTGAATTAAATTCTAATCTCATAGACAAGGCAGAAAAAATTCTCCAAAATTTTAATTAATAAAAATAGCCAAATTCATTAACTAATTAAATTCATTATTTAAGCAATTTGAATTTATTTCTCATAGACAAGATGTAAATCCATTTCATTAAAATTATCCTATTTCTAGTCCTTATTAATGTCCTTGAATAAAGTTGGCTCAAATTATTTTCTAATCTCATAGACATGTTAGAAATAATTTTCCAAAATTTAATTAATGAAATTGGCTAACAATTATTAATTACTAATTCATCAAATTGAATAACTAGCTCAATTAATTAATTTTAACCCCTAATTTTCGGCTAACAAGTCAATCCATATTCCTTTACTCAATTCATGCCCAAAACAAATTTAGCTACTAAACATTATTTTTGCATCCAACAATATGGTAAATAAATTAAACATTAACATGGAATTAAACATGTATAATAGCACAAATTAAACAAAAATAAGATATTGTCAAAATAAACTTTCTGGAACTACAATATGACTTTCTAGAATTTGTTTACGAATTTTCAGACCTAAAATCCAATTTTAACAATTAATTGATAATTTTCCACTTTTAACTATAAAATACAAAAGGCAATTAAAAATAGGTTAAATTCGTTCTAAATTTTTTATTGACTACTAGGGGTGATATTACAGTGAAATAAATTTGAATTAGGTCCGATACTATTTTTTTTCTATTTTTGTGTAATTAATTTAATTTATGCAATAATAATAACTAATTACCGAAATTAATTAAAAAATACTTGTACTTCGTGAAAATTAACTTTCTTCAGATAAATAACAACCTTGAGGCTAGTGAACAACTATATAATTAATTGGAATGAGTTCAACATCAACAACTATTTTATTTAATTTATGGAAGAAAATGCGAAATACTAGATAGATATTCTGGAAAAATTCGAAGAACAGATCGAGAAAACAAAGCACCGATTCAGATTCTACTCGTTGAGAAGATGAAAATACATATAAAGAACTTAGAATTTGAAGCTAAAATGAAGAAGATATGAAGATTTGAAGTTTCTCTCTCCCAAAAAATCTTGGAGCTGCGGAAATAGCTGAAGAACAGGACCTTTTTTAACTGAATTAGGGTTGGAAGAGGTGTGTTTGAGTTCAGCAAAAATCGGGGTATTTATAGCACAAAAAATATGGTAGGCGGCCAAACAGGCGACCGCCTCTGGTCCTGTCCCGGCCGCCTTCCGTCACGTCACCGGAAGGACGTGACGCCAGTCAACTCATCCGCCGCAGGCGGTCCAGCAGGCGGCCGCCTGCCGTTCCTGTCTGGTCGCCTGCCGTCAAATCCCACCGGCCGGTGGTTGGTTCGTCGTCTTGTGCCGCAGGCGGTCATCGAAGGCGGCCGCCTTCCGTCTAGTGTCGGTCGCCTTCCGTTTTTCTCCGGTCAGGTCAAATTTGATCAAAATTGACTTTTTTTCAAAAATTGGTAGGCTGTCTGGTAGGCGGCCAATCTGGGCGCCTATTTGGGCGCCTGTGAGTTTTTTTGTCCGTCTTGTTCTGCATTTTGTGCTTTTCAACTTTCCCTTCTGGACCACTTTGAAATTCTGCTTTCTTTTTTCGGTATGATATCATTTGTCACTCAAATTGACACATTTTGTGCTAAATTGACCCGAAATTTCATCAAACATATCATGGATGTGATTTTTACCTGATTTCACGAAACTTGAACCAAAATATATAAAACATGCCTTGTTTTTCTGTTTTTCAGTCCAAAATCACTTAAATTTGATAAGAAAAATAAGTACAAAAATGGACTTATCAGGAGCAAAATTGGAAAAAACTCATTAATATTTGGGAGGAATCGTGACTCCCGGATAAGGAAAATCCGAGAGTAATATCGGAGGCAGGCGATGGTTTACGGCAGGCGGTGGTGGTTAATGTCTTTGATACAAATAAAAAAGAGTGGGGATCATGACATTATTAAGGACAAATAAAATTAAAATGTTTTTTGGAAGGTTTGTAGCTGTCCAGTGGCTCGTGAGGCCTGGACAGTCTTGTCGTGGCAATGGATTGATGGGCCTGATTTACCATTCCTTGAGCAAATGAATCTGGAGTTTCAGACAAGGAGGAAGGCAGCCTTGGAGAAGATGATCTGGTGCGAGCGGAATCATCGTGTTTGGCAGGGAGCGATGTCTATAGCACAACAGTTATTCCATCGAGCAGGGGCTTTGGTTGACGGGTGGTCCAGGGCACAGGCAATACAAAGGAACAAGGTGCAACAAGAGTTTTCTCCGGCTACTGTGTGGTGCAGGCCGACAACTGGTAAACTGAAACTCAACGTCGATGCAGCGGTCCGGCCGAACACTTGTGGACTCAGCTGGTGCTTTAGAGATGAAAATGGCAGCTTCATTGCGGGGGCGGCTCGTCCGTGGCTGGGCATACTATCACCGTTGAGTGCCGAACTTGTTGGGATTCAGGAAACTCTTAGTTGGGTGAAGCAAAATGGATGCACAGAGATGGAGGTCGAGACCGATGCGGCCTAGGCTATTTCAGAGATTGGATCCAGTTGCTCTTCGATTGGATGATTGGGTGAGGACATAAGAGATTTGGCGAATCATTTTTCGAGCATTTGTTTTTATCATGTTATGCGATCAACAAATAAGTCAGCCCACGCTTTAGCTAGATCTGCTTGTTCTATGTCTGATCTGAGATCTTGATCTATACTCCTCCTCCTTTTATTGTATTTGTGTTACACAATGACTTCATTAATATTAATTAAATTTTCTCCTTGCAAAAAAATAGTGTCTAAATGATTTGATTTATTGAGATCTATTCTGATAGTCTAATTTGTTTAAATCTAGTCGAACTCTATGAGATCTAGTCTAGTATGTTTATGATCTTGTATGAGAGTGGCACTAATATAATATAGGTGAAAACATCTGTACACATTGGCATACTTTAAATAAAAGTGAGTACAAGTTATATTAAGGAATATTCCTTAATATATGTGCGGGCGGGGGCGTAGACAGGATCGAAGGTTGGAGTGAATTGGTACAAAGATTTTTTCAGATAAATTTTTACATTAAAAATACAAAGAGTTTCCAAATTTGGGGTTGGCCGGGCCCTGGTTGGCCCCCACTACCTCTGCCTTTGTGTGCGGGTAATAAGTGTTAGCTACCGTCTTATACCCACACATCTTCACACTTAATATATGTGTGGGTAAATGTTTTTTTCTACACATAACTATACTTTTACCAACACATACGTGTATGAGCAAAAGTCCTAACTTAGTTCAACTGCCCGTGAATTATTTGCTCAAACTCAACTTGAGTTTAGTCAAATTCAAACTCGAATCACCTCTTTAAGCAATCGAGCCAAGTTTAGTTCAAATTAGTTTGAAACTCGTGATCTTCTCTACCATCTTATAAGCATGAATAATGTTAGGGGTATAATGATCATAGAAAATGTGTTGGTGTACCTTTGATGTTATATAGGGTGCTACTTCTGGATGTGAGAGTTGTACAATTATAATTATGTGTACATAACTAGGCTTTTCCTCCGTTAACACCTGTTAACCCCATTTCTCTGTAGGCATTTCAAATACGGAGTACTTTAATGAGAGAGGAAAGTAGTTGCCGTAGAAATCCTCTCTCTCTCTCTCTCACTTTCTTATGGCGTCACTCCCTCCTTACTCTTCCAATTCTCTCTTCTTCTACTATACTCTGTCCCCGATCATTGATGCCCATCGATGCAATGGCTCCTCTTCTGCCAAAAATGTGCCAAAGACGCCCAATTCGTCCAATTTAGCAAAAGGGTTAGGATGCTCTCAATCTTCTCCTCGTTGCTTTGCTTTATACTGTTAACCCTAACATTTTGATTTCTAAGTGAATGAGTTTGTATCATGGCTAAAATGAATGAGTTGCATCTGTTCATACATCACACATCATCATCTCAAAGTGTATTTGTAGTATGATTTAATTAATAAATAGAGTCATATCGACAAAATGATGGTAGAAGTTTTATACATTTCAATCATTTAATTTCTACTATGTATTTTTTTGTAAAAACTGTTTTGATTATCAGTAGATCCCTCTAACACATCTCAATAAGGAAATTTTTGAAAGATTGCTAATTAGAATAATAGGGGATGGTTTACAAAATAGGCAAATAGCGCCTAATAATGTATATGGAGCACCCAAAAATGTTTTTTCCCAAATCTCTATTGAAGCTAAGGTAAAGTGGTATATATTTGACATGTTTATATTATAAATATATATTTTTGGGTTCTTGCAGATCTAGCTCCTAATATTTATATTTTTGGATGTTTGTTCTAATTTAATGCTTAAATGTAATATTGTGTTTAGTTTCATGATAATTGATGTTCAATGTTTTCGGATCTATTTAGCGGCAGTCACACATCGCCAACGGTGCAGTAAGATTGTGACAGGGTTCAACATTTACAATATTAAAGCTTGAGGACCCTCTCATCTCTATTAGTGTGTGTAGTAAGAATGTGCTTTGATTAATCATATTTTTTCATTTTGGCCTTACAAATAAAAATTCACCTAAAAGGTTCTCATAGTTATCCCAGCCATATTGATTTTAACATAAGAGTACTCTTTTTAAATGCCCATCTTAATTAGCCTTGGCCTAGATTAAAATTAGAGTACTTCTCTGGTCCCTTTTTTCATTTTCATCCGGGACTGTCCATTTTTCTCGGTAAAGCGGAAAGGATTTCTTAGAAACCATTCTGGTACAATTCTAAAGCTTCAGATCAGGATTTCTTTAGGTTTTTGAACCTCAAACATTTTACAATTGTGTCATTAATTAATATATGTGTGCATAACAGATAAAATGCCACTTTGAAATCTAAAACTTCCAATTTTGTTAGTAGCTCTTGGTGGATCTAATCTCGTTTTCGGTTAAGAAAGGTGCTCTACATTTTGTTTGCTCATCTTATTTTAGAGATTATCTAATTTTAATGTTTTCATTGTTGTGACTAACCGGTGTTTAACCTAAGAGTGAATAATTTGCTTACACTGTTCGCCCATGGATCCGTGTCAAAGTATTTCAATAATTAGTAGTTATTTTACAATTTTTTTATTGAGGGATGATGTTTCATTATAGTATTTCTCTTGTAGTTAATGAGTCATCTTTATCACAAATTCACAATTTCTAAATGTTAACAGTAAAAAGATTGCAATGCTTAAGTTTTTTCTACTTTGTATGCAATAGTATTAAATGCTCAGTTGCTTATAGTTTTTACACCTAATAAAGAAATGTGTACAAGAGTTATTTATTCTTTTCACAAGTTCATAATTATTTTTTTAACTTTTTCCTCATATGTGAGGAAAACATGGCTGAATGGAATGTGTGAGGTTAAAGTTAAAAAACGTATTCCGACAACCTCTTTACATATCAACCACAAATGAACAACTCCTCAAGAATGAAGAGTATAAATAGAGTTTACATAATAGCACCTGCCAGTGGTCAGCAAAGTTATGATCAACCTTGCCAATGATCAATCAGTTGGTGCTCAGTCAGCTGCTTATGTAGTTACTCAACCTGCAACCAAGCAACGACTGGTTACGAGAGTAGTGTGTAGCGGGATAGTACAAACCTCTGATTGTTGCCTTTCTGTGACAAACAGACAGTCCGCATCTTATTTTTTTGGCAGTGCAGCTGCTGCTGCTGTTTTTTCCCTACCAATTTACTCTAATTTTGGTTCATATAAGTTCCCGTATAATCCTTAGTGCATTTTGGCTCATTTTGAGCCATTAAATCTGAAAATGAATGCACAAGATTAATTCTTACTTTACATGGGAAGACCTCTTTGTATTTGAACCTTCCCCTATATAGCGGAGTATTCTCCTAAGGTAGGCCTAAAACCAATAATTTTAGGCCTTTTTCATTTGAGGTACTTTCAGGTCGAATTTTTTGATAAAAATTTTGTGAGCATATTCTCAATGTAGGGTAGACTATGTCTACCAAATTTAAGTTCAAAATTCAATCGAGAAGTCAGATAAATAAATTATTGAAAATTGTGCAGTTATATATAATGCAGTTTTTTCAATAATTTATTTAAATGACTTCTCGTTTGAATTTTAATCTGAAATTTGGTAGAGATAATACACACTTTAAGGAAAACATGTTCACAAAATTTCATAAAAAAATTTGACCCGGAAGCACCTCAAATGAAAAAGGCCTAAAACTTACAAGTTTTAGGAGAACATCCTCCTAGTATATATATATATATATTTATACTTTGGCGCAGTCAACTTCAAAAAATTATTTGAAGGCCTTCCCGATCGAATTTTGAGCTGAAATTTGGTAAGAATAAACTAGACTTGATGAAGAACATAACATAAAAATTTCATCAAAAGTTTCACTAGGAACCGCCCCGAAAGGTGTTGTTCGGACAGGGAATGATCCTGTCCATCCGGAGGGACAGGAGGCGCCGTCCGGCCGCTGCTGTTTGGGGTGGTTCCTAGTAAAAAATTTTGATGAATTTTTTGAACATATTCATTATCAAGTCTAGTTTATTCACAGAATATATCAGTTAAAAATTCGATTGGGAAGGTAGTCAAATAACTTTTTGAAGATGATTGCGCCAAATTATACTCTTAAAACACAATCATTTTCCAAAAATTATTTATCTGCCGTTTCGATCGGATTTTTAGCTGAATGTTTTTGAGGTTAAATTAGACTTGATAAGGAACATGTTAAAAAAATGTAAATAAAAAAATACCACCGGAAACCTCCCTAAACGACGGTAACCAGATGGCCCCTCCTAGGCCCGGGACTTGGAACCGTAAAACCGGGAAAACCGATCCGAACCGAACCGAATTTTCCGGTTCGGTTCCTATAATTTTGGACTTCATCTTTTTTCGGTTCGGTTCCTATAGTATATGATCGGTTCGGTTCTGGTTCGGTTCCGGTTCGGTTCCAGTTCGGTTCCGGTTCCTATACAAGAACCGAACTTCTTATACATTGCATGAGTAATTTTCATTTGACGTGCTTCTAGGTGCAATTTTTTGATGAAATTTTGTGAGATTGTTTTCAATGAAATGTAGATTATGTCCACTAAATTTGAGCTTAAAATGCAATCTGGAAGTTAGTTAAATAAATTATTGAAAAACACTACACCAAAATACATATAAAAAAACACAATGGTTTTCAATATTTTATTTAACTCACTTCCCGGTTGTATTTTAAGCTGAAATTTGGTGTATGTAATCTACACTTCATGTAGAACATTCTCACAAAATATAATCAAAAAATTCTACCCGGAAGCGCCTCAAGTAGAGGTGGCCAGACGACGTTCCGAGCAGAAAATTCTTGTAAGGAATATTTGTCTTTCATAATATACCTTATATATTGTGGATCACGCCAATTCGAGTATCTGTTATTTTACTACTTTAGTCGATTTTTATATCTATGATTTGTTTGTGATTGTATTTGTTTTTTGAGTTCACAATAAGGAAATAATATTCCGTTGATTATGTTGTTACTTGTTCATAGTAAATTACAAATATTACTGGTCAGTTTATTACTACGTACTTTTTATTTATGGTGCATTACTACTAGAATATTATTTTGAGGTTGAACTACCTGCTATTGGATGTGTACCTTGAAGTTATTAAATATTTTTGCTTGATAGTTGATGCCTATTTTAAACCTTTATGTTGTTATTATGTTTAAACTTAGTGTTTGCACTTGGATATTTTTGTGATATTTGAAAATTGGAATATCATGTGTGTATAATGTAATGGTCATAATTTCATCATTTAAAATTTGATTTTTTTATGTAACTGAAGGTAAAATGTGTTTATTTTAGGAGGATAATAAATTTTTATTAGGAACCAAAAAAGTGTAAGAACCGAACGAAATTTAACTAGAACCGAACCGAATTTAACAACTACATTTTAAACTAGAACCGAGCCGAATTTAGCGCCTATAATTTTTAATACGGTTCCATCGAATTTTAACAAGAACCGATCCGATCCCAGGCCTAGCGCCTCCTGTCGGGGAGGGACAACATCTTTTTCCTACGTAATTGGGGTGTTTGGCAATTGGCGGTTGGCGGTTGGCTGATTGTATTAGATGATTGATGATAGCAGATTCTATTGACTGTTTTGATTAGCCGATAGTATTAGCTGTTTGTAAAATGGTATTTGGTTAAATGACTATTTACAATTGTCTGATAACTTGTTAAATGACTCTTAAGAACATCGATTATTTTTTTTGTTTACCAACTAAATGTATACACGTATCATACATTTTAAAATCATTTTTAACAGTAAAATTAGTCTAACCATTTCTTAAATCTTTATTGACAAAAGCCATTTTTATTAATTAAAAAAGAAACTACGATTAATCATTCTCTACAACAATTTATAATCACAGCTGCACCATATCATGGCGTCCTGTATCCTTCAAATCTAAAATGGAAGAAAGTCAGAATTTTTGAAAAAATAAACCAAAGTTACCAAACGGACCATCCCTGCAATTGCTCTCTACTGCATATATATCCATAGCCAAATAATACAAAATAGCAAATAGAAAGTTCGATAGAGAAGAATTAAAAGAGTACTCCGTGTGTACACAGTGCTATATAGCAGTATCAAAAAGAAGAATGAAAAACAGTAATGGAAAATATGGTGCAAAGAGAAAGGTTGGGATTTATGTGGGCAGTGGGTAGATGAGGAAAAACAGGGAAAAACCAAATGAAAAAGCTTTTTTACAAAACACTTCAATTAGCTATTTTATCTGGTCAAAAAGCTAATAATAGTCAAATCAGCCAAAAATTGGCTGATAGGTGCTTAACCAAACACTAGGGATGGCAACAAGGCGGTTCGGGGTTGGGTATACCATTACCCGTACCCACCCCGTTTGATAGTATTTTTCCCCGAAATCGCCCCGTTACCCATCGGGTATTTTTTATCCGCGGGTAACGGTTTCCCCGCAGGTAACTGTTTTATTAAAAGATAATTTTTTTCTTCAAAATTAGTATAAATTCTAAAAAGATGATTAACTACTTATAATCGACCACCTAAATTAAAAAAATCAAAATTAAATAGCACCACAGATAATGTTTTTTAAAACATCACAAAAAATTACAATCGTTTGAACCTAATATTCACAAATTATATATGTCTACATTCAAAATTATGAATCTCTTACCACATCAACATCAAAAGATTAAGTCTTGTCTCGATAGTAAAATCTAAACATGAATCACAAAAACATTTAACTTCCAAAAATTCAATAATGATACCCCACTAGCATTCGACATCTAAATTTAATTTAAGAACAATAATGTATACAAGTAATATAATGAAAATGGGAAGTTTTTTCCCTAAAATATTACTAATAAAAAATATATGGACATAAATGTGACTATAAACTACCATGGGTAAGTTTTGTAGTCACTACGATATAATATTTGAATAAAATTATAAACACTAAAGATACTAGATTCACATTTTTGTCCACAACTTTTATTTTGATTATAGATTTGAAATTATTTCTAAAAAATGTACTTCTAATACTATGATTTAGGTATTCTTGTAGTTAATGTTTTAGAAACCTCATAATTTAAATTTAAAACTTGATATAAATTAGAGCAACCAATCAAAATTAACCTAATCATCCAATACACCTCTACAAAATTATTAGCAATTACATAAATTAAAGAAATCTAGAGTAATGTTTCCGAATATTTTGACTTTAAACTCATATGTGAGCTTTATGAAAGTTATTGGGTGAAAAATTAAGAGAGTCACAATGTGAAAATTGTGTACAGAAAATCACGAAAATCAAATAATCAATATGTGAAGAAAATAAATCTTGTAGAAGTTAACAAAGGAAGGATGATGAATGATATTGAAAATTAAAAATCTAAAATAGTGAACTTTGAGCACCAACTCCTCAGAATTGCAAATGATATTCGATTAGTTGAATAATTTTCAAAAAATTAGAAGGAATAAGTGTCATATACTAATGTACTATTATTCATATATACTATCCTCCGTTCCATAAAAATTGCAACATTTTGACTTTCACGTTTACCAACGCGCAACTTTGACTGTAATTATATTTATTTACGTATTAGTAAACATTAAAAAAAGTTAATATATTGGAAATTTACATTAACACAAATTTATTAATATTTTATACATAATACTTTTATTATATATATTATTAGAAAATCGTAGTCAAAGTACGGTGTGTGAATAGTGCATAAATTACAATGTTGCAACTTTTATGGAACGGAGGAAGTACTTAATAATAAATACATAAACTATTAAAATATGTAAGTTAATTGTGCGAACCGGGTAATGGTGCGGGTAACCCTATCCAAATTAAACGGGGCGGGTAACGGGGCGGGTAACGGGGCGGGTAATGTGGCGGGTAGGTATAAATCCATAACCGCCCCATTACCCGTTTACATAAACCGGGTTTTTCTGTCCCGTACCCGTTACCCGCCCCGTTTAATTTGACCGGTTCGATTCGATACTGATATCCATCGGATCAGGTTAAATTGCTATCCCTACCAAACACCCCAATATATTTATATCCGATAAATAAACTTATAAAAGTGGGTTGGGACTTTCTCGAAAGGTAAAAAAACTTAAAAGTGCGCTCCAGTGCCCCCACCGGCACCATTGCCCCACTCCCACAGGTTACGAACTCCGCCTTCTCCGCGGCATCGTTTTTAAAAAAATAATAAAATAAAAAACTCTTCTCTCCCCTGTTCATCAGCTTTCTCTCTCCCTCCTCTGAAACTTTTCTTCTTCACATCAGTTATCACTCGAACTAAGAAGTATTCTTATAGCCTGCCTCACGGCCCACACACGTTCATTTACATTCATTTACTCTGAACTGAGGAGTTTCAGGAATTTCAGTGTAATTTACTAATTTCTCTCCTCTCTATATATCTCTCTCCCTGTGCAAATGAATACATTTTCCCAGTTAATGCGAGAAGCAGTGATTCGAATGAGTTGATGAAACCTGATGAAGTTTTCCATGTAATTGGGTGGTTTCTTGAGTGTAATAGTTATTCTACGGAGTATTTTATACCGAGTCATAGAAATAATTATCCCATTATGTGATAATAATTGTAATTACGAAATCTTCCCGTAACTTATTCAGATATATATTTGTTTGAAATTTGAATTTCCCATTCACATTTTGCACGCGTATCTTTAATTGGCTGTCGGAAATCTAGATAATTACGAGATGGATTTGTTTTATTTTGGAAATATTTTAAATGCTCTTAATTCTTCTTATTTGGACTCTTTTTCCTGGCTATATCCCCTTCCCCAACGGTCACCCCATAGTTTACCGAGTAATGATACAATACATAGTAGGAAACAGTTCTCATTTCCTTTTTATACTTTTTTTTTCTCGAGTGACCTCTAGCTGGATTGGATTTGATTTTCTGGAAGGATTAATTTTAGAAGGTATGAATCTGGGTTAGTTTATACTCCGTGACTTTTATTTTTTTTGTTTGCTGACTGAATTGACTTTGGCTGAAGTGTTGAAATTTGGGGAGTGGAATTAGGCCTGGCTTGCCTCATGCTGAGGACAGAAGCCTTTGTTTCTTCTGATCCGAGAAAATGACATCAGAGGCTTTTAGTTCTGCACTAAGATATATTTGGTTCTATTTTTTGAAAGGTCTGCCATGATTTGTACTAAAATGTAATGATGGGTTGCTGAAATGCTTCTATAGCTCTCTCATGTGCCTTTTTACATTTTAATCTTTTCATGATCTAGTATCATTTCCGTTTGGTTATTAGTGGAGTATTATTTTGGAAACCAAAACTGTGGTTTATAGGGATGGTAAAACCGAAGGGTGTGTAGGAAATTTAATTCCAGACATGCATCTTCCTGATTTCCTGGTAGGAAGTGGTAATGAGTAGTAATTTCCCTCTCTCTGATTAAATTTGTTCCATCTGTTGAAGGTCTAAAATCTTTTCATGGCATGCTAGTGATTCCATGTTTCCAATCACATCGAGTGCCCAGTGTTTGTTGAAGTTTGCATGATAGACAATGTCAATCCTCATCATTAGTATTTTTCTGTTTAAATTTTAAGCGTTTCAGTAGCAATTGATGTCAATATACTAGCTTCGTGCTTCACACTGGTTAAATACAGAATATAACACACAGTTTGTAAATGTGAAGTCAATAATACAGTTGATCCCATTAATCAATGATATTTTCTGTTATATTTCAAATGGGCATCTTAGCAATGATCTTGTGATGCAGGTTTAGTTTACCAATGATACAAAGATGAAGAAACTATTCTTTTTCAGATCAAGTGCTTCTAGTGGCGGAAACAAAATTTCCCCACCATCAAATGACAAACAGTGCAATTGGGAAAAACCAGCAGACACTTTTGAGAAATCTCGAAGTAGAAAGCAAAGTTCAGAACATCATCAGAGTATTGGTGCCACCCCAACTCTTAGGAGGAGTCTATCCTTTTCATCCGCATCCGTTAACAATGATGATTTGCCAGGATGGAACTTTCAGGATGAAAGTGGGTCCCCATGTCGTGTTACCCATTTCCAACATAGGAAATCAGGCCGTCGTCCAGCTCGGTATGCAGAAAATTTTCTCGGTCACACTATTATAAAAAAGTATAAAATCAATTAATATTATTCCTAAAAATCAGGTCGTGAGTGACACGCTATTAAAGAATGAAAGTGTGATAGAAGATTGATATTCATAACTTATATATGGTTTTGTTTTGTTTTACTTTGTTATAGTGACCGGGCACGTATTCCTGAGAGGCAACTCCACATGAAGCCCACAAATGGTGTTGAAACGTCTCACAGAGTGAGGAATGATTGCAGTTCTTCCTTCATTCCACCCAATGACATTTCTGAGAGCTCTTCCCACAGCTCGAGCAAAGTTTTAGATCGTTACATTGATGGGGAGCAAGAGTATGAAAAGAGTGGACCAACCCACGATTTGCCTCCAAGAGTCCATCATATTCCACCTGCTTCACCACCCAATATTAAGAAACAGAAGCCTAAATCTCAGTCTTTCAGGGAGACCGCATCAAGTCATTCATATTTATCTTCTTGGGAATTGATGGAGAATGGTTTTGGACATGACTCTCCTAGAAAACTTGCCAGAAAAGTTGTTGAGAGGCTTTCTAATTCTCAATTGCTTTCTGAGAAGAATTCAAAAGAATATGATGTTCATGCTCCAATAACAATAGAAGATATATATACAGGGAATGTAAGCAGGCATCCTAACACATATTCTGATGTTGCCTCTCAGAATCATTTCTCAATAAATGGCGAATCAGTTCCAAGTTCACAAGAAAGGAACTTTTTCTCAAGTGCTAATTGCAGCACTAAAGGGAATCATTATGCTTTGGAGGATTCAGAGTTTGAACTGCATAAAAAATTAAAAGAAGCTGATGCACGGACAACCATGATCTCTGAAGATCTTGAAGATTTGAACTTGTTTCATTGCAGTGAACTTAGTGTTCCTGGATTGATCCAGAAAATTAGAGATCTGACTGAAGAAAAGTTAAAAATGGCCATTGATGTTTCTGTTGCATTGAAAGATCAAGTTTCTGAGAGAGCTTCTGCTAAAGAAGAAATCAGATCGTTAAGAGATAAACTAGATTCACAAACTCGAAGGTTGGAGATGGAGAAGAATGACTTGCAGTCCTCACTAGAAAAGGAGTTAGACAGAAGATCAAGTGAGTGGTCCATGAAACTTGAAAGGTACCAGATGGAAGAACATCGGCTTCGTGAAAGAATCAGGGATCTTGCTGAGCAAAACGTTTCTCTTCAAAGGGAAGTTTCTTCCCTTGGTGAGAAGGAGGAGGGGAACATGAATAGGATTTCATATTCAGAAAAACAACTTGATGATCTTGCACTGAGGGTTGAGGAGAAAAGAGATGAGAATCTGATTTTAGAGCAAAATGTTCATGAACTCAAAGAGAAGTACAAGATAGCACACCAGGAGCACGATTGCATCCGAAGGAACTACGAGGACAAGGTGAAAGAGTGCAAAGATTTACATAGATCTATTGCTAGACTACAAAGGACTTGCAGTGAACAAGAGCGGACAATTGATGGACTTCGAGCATTCTACGAGGAAGTTTGCAAGAAAAACACAACTGGGGAGTTTGATAGTGAATTGACAAAGTTGAGAAGGGAACAAATGAGGTTGGTAGGAGTGGAATGTGGTCTAAGGAAGGAAGTCGAGTCTTACAGGATAGAAGTTGATTCACTTCGGCTTGAAAACATACGTTTATTGGAACGCTTAAAAGGAGGTGGGTTAGAGGCAGGATTCTCAACTTTTAAGCTAGATCAAGAATTGCAAAGCCACGTATGCTGCTTAGAAACACAAGGATTGTCTTTACTTAAAGAGAGCACCCATCTTTGTGGAAAGCTGTTAGATTGCATCAAAGCTAATGCAGGGGACATATTGAAGGATGGGCATGGTTGTTTAGATGGAGGATTGGATGGTCAGTTTATTGTTGAATCTGATGTTAGGATCCTTGGTTTTCGAAGAGGGGTTGAGAATTTAGCGAGAAGCTTACAGAATGTAATGGATGTGTATCATGATAAGTCTGAATCACAGTTGCCTAGTTTAGAGAGTAAAATACACCAATCAAATGATCAGAACACGGAAGTAAGTTGGTTCTTCTTTCTCAACAAAATATGAATGCCTTTATCTTGCAAGTTTGCTATATTTTTTGGTTAATATTTGTAGGATATAATGCAGTCCGAGCTAAAAGCAGAGACTTTACTTACAAGTCTGTTGCGGGAGAAGCTTTATACTAAAGAATTGGATATAGAGCAACTTCAAGCTGAACTGGCAGCTTCTGTCAGGGTTAATGACATGCTAAAATGTGAATTGCAAAACACACGAGATGGCCTTTCTTGTGTTACCCACAAGATGAAAGACCTTGAACTTGAGGTGAGGCAACAATTATTTTTGTTTCTTATGAGAGGCTGAGAGCTTATGTGCAGCTTTTCTAACACGCAAGTCGCAGTTCACCTTAAAATAATGTAAAATTTTGTATTCTTGCCTTCTTGGCATTTACCGTCGTGATAAGAATTGCTATGTTTCTTGATTCATATATGGTATGTTTGGTCGGAAAATGCTAGAAAAAGAAAACAGGGATGGAAGTATCGGGGAAGGTTGGAAGGCGAGACAATGAGGTGAAAAATTGGAAAATAAAATAATGTTTCAAACACTAATTGTTTTCTACTATCGTATATTTGTTCCCACTCATTGTCTTTATCTATTTCTATTGTTATATAAAGTCAAAAAAACTAAACATATGTAATAATTAAAAAATAATAATCATACTTCATTTTCATTTGCTCTTTCCTATTTAAAACCAATTACATAAAAGCTACTTTCCATAAACTATGTTTGATTCCTGCCATCCCGGAAAATGCTAGCAATAGGAAATAAAATGCTAAGGAATGTTTTTTTTTTTAAGTTTAGTTTCACCCTGCTAGATTCAAAGGAGAATGGAATATGATTATTGTTTTTATTTTTTATTTACATATGTTTAGATTCCTTAGCTATATAATAGGAATAAATAAATAAAATGAATTTGAACAATATGTTTACTTATGTTTAGGCTGTTTAGCTTCCTTCCAAATTTCTCTACATCTTCCTCCCTATTCTCATTCCCTACTTTCTTTCCAAGTTCCAAACAGACTTTTCATATTATTTCCCTGCGGTAGCACTTTTTGGGATCCAAAAAATGCTGGCACACAATCTGGTAGAATAAAGTTCATCTCCATGCTCCTTCAAAAGTCATATTAGTCAGAGAACACTGGAAAGCTGTACATTATTTCATGAATTTTTATAGATTTATCAGTGAGGATTTTGAGGCCAATCAAATGTTTTAATTTAAATGAATCTTTGACTGATTATGCTCTTTCCTGAAAGTGTTGTCTTGTTTTTTCTTCAATAGATGATCAAGAAAGACGAAAACATGAATCAGCTTCAGAATGATCTCCAAGAATGCATGAAGGAATTAGCAGTTTTGAAGGGGATACTACCAAAAGTAACTCAAGAGAGAGACTTAATGTGGGAGGAGGTTAAACATCACAATGAGAAGAGTATGCTGATGAATTCCGAGATGAATGCGTTAAAAAAGAAGATGGAAACACTGGATGAAGACATACTCCTCAAAGAAGGTCAGATCACTATCTTAAAAGACACACTTAGCAAGCATTTCGACCTTCTCTCTAGTCCCACTGGTTCTACAAAAGACTTTTTGCTTGATTGTACTTGATTTTTTGACATTTATGAGCTATGATTATACACTTGTATATTGCTTGATTTGCTTGTTTGGAACTATCCGTATAGGTCCAATACAAACTTCAGATTTCTGATCAAACATATGGCTTCACAATACCTTTTTGAGCCAAAAAATCTTCCAAAGGAGGTTTTCTTTATATTTGCACTTCTATTTCTTTATCCTCTTTCTAAACAAGTGATGTATTTTCTGCTTGGAAAGGTCATTTTGAATGTACGATTTTTTTTTTTGGATATTTTGTTAGCTTGTAGTAGCAGTAGTAATTCTTTGCGTATTCATACATTGTAATTGATTGAGAACGGGAATTCCCTCATCATGTTCAATACCACAAGGCAGGTAGAAAACCTACAACAACAACAAAACCCAAGCCTTAATCCGAAAAGAATTTGGGGTCGGCTAACATGAATCGGTCTATGATATCGATGCCAAAAAGAGAAGATGGACAAGAAAGAGAAGAAAAAAAAAGTAAGATAAAATGAATAAAATAAAGATAAATAAATACTACTATAAGATAACAATAACACAAGAATATAAGAAAGATAAAAGATCAAAAATAAAAGAGCATAAAAAAGCTAGAGAATAAAAATAACATAAGAATATAAAAAGATAAGGAAGATAAAACCTATGGTCTCTTTTGGCTCGCTCATTAGCCAGGAAGCCATGAAAATATGGCAAACTTCAAGCTTCGGGTCAATTGATATTAAATCTTTTATTAGTAGTACTGTAAACCCATTTTTTCCTACATATTTGATGATTGTTGACTATAAGGAATACTTAATCTGGAAATGCCTAATTAGTCAACAAGTCAGCCTACTTACTCAAAAAGTTTCATGAGTTGTGAAATTTAAGGAGAGTTTGACTATATTATACTCAAACTCAAAATGGTTGTCCACATCCCAAGGACCCAGTTCAGTGGTTGAACAGAGGAAACATATCTCTTCTTCACTGAACCTTTTTCGTGTGGCGGTTGTGATATACTACGTTCAATACTAACCTCATCACCAAGTCATTCTAAATTACTGTTCGTCCAACTTTGACTATTAGCATTTGAACTCTACGAAAGGATTCACCTTTTTATGAAGTATAAAATTTAAGGTGAATTTGATTAAATTATACCCAAACTCTAGGGCATAACCCCATTAACCCGTGTGCTACGTAGGCCGATTCCATTGCGGGGCCGAAGGATTCAAAATTATTCTTCCACCAAACAATCTCACATTTACTTTCATATAATGTGTGCATTATTTCATATAATGTCTAAAATAAATAATTTCATATAATGTCTAAAATAAATAATTCTCAAACGTAGAAGCAATCACCTAAATGTGTTAGCAATGGTGCTTGATAATAGAAAATTGCTCTGGAAAAATCTCAGAGCTCCAAGCCCAAACATGCTTGATAACGTATATTGAGATCCTTGATGATGAACGAAAGTGAAACAGATAGTTGCAATGTCAACATTTGGAATAAACGCTGGAAACACAGTAGATAGTTTATAAAGACTTCAGGGTGATTCATTTAATTTGCCACAAAAGCTCATCCAAATTCTGAATGAATTTGTCAATGTAACTGTCAACAAATCCATTGCTCAAAAACACATCCCTCCACTTCTTGTGGTTCTTCTTCAGCAGACCACCCAGCTTGCTACCTTCATCCATGGCTGTCTTAACACCTCTGCTAATGCTCTCCTTTGAAAACCAACCATTTTCACCCATTTCTACCTCCACTGCAAGCTGAAGCTCTTCAGCCATGAGCCTGGCATTCACAGCATAGTCTCCCCTAGTTGGCAAAATCACTATTCGGCAGTCACTCAACAAAGATTCCCACATTGATGCGGACCCACCATGGCTCACGAAGCACCCAATTGATCTGTGCATTAGAATCTGAGTTTGGGGGACCCACCCTTCATATAGCATTGCCTTTTCTTTTACCCTTTCCTGGAATCCCTCTGGTAAGGCTTCTTGAATGGAAGCTGTCCCTTTTGGTGGTTTAATGCCAGCCAGAAGAAAGGGCATCCCTGTGAGCTCTAGGCCTAGGATAAGTTCTTGGAAATGGTCAATTTCAAGAACTAGTTCACTTCCAAATGAGCAGAAAACCACAGAAGCAAAATCAAATTTGTTGAGAAAGATTGAAATTTTGTCATCTAACGGCTCTTTTCTTGGTTTGGGGAAGAGAGGGCCTGTGCAAAACACTGGTTTCCCATAAAGCATTGATAGGTTGCTGCAATGGATGCCTTCTATTTCATTACAGGTTCTCACTGCCAATGCATCACTCTGTTTGGCTCCGGATACGCTCTTACCCAAGAAATCTCTCATCTTGTTATTCGGTTGATTAGCTAACACTGTCACTGCGCTTGCTTGGTGTTCACGAAGGATAGGCGCATTGGAAGAAGGGTAACTTGGAAGAGATTCCATAAGATCAGACGTCGTCAAAGGCTTCTCTTTACTTGTGGATATTAGCAGAGTGATTGCAGATATCACAGGGCTTATGACACTGAAAAACACTGCCTTGCAGCCTATCTCTGAGGCTAAATTTGGTATCCAATCGGCGAAATCAAAGAAAACAAAATCTGGCTTCTCTGCCTCAAGCACCACCTTCACCTGCTCCTGCATTCCATCCATGGCTAAAGACAGCGCTATTGAGTCATCCGTATCAGATGTGGTCTCAGCCCCGTGAGGGAGACCTACAAAGAATAACACTCGTTGTGAGTTGTTCTGTTGTAAAATACACATTCTGGGAAGGTGATGCAATAATACTATCCAAATTCTAAGATGACACTCCCTCCATTTTTAACTGCTTCATATTCCTTTTAAAGCCTGCTATATTTCCATTTTTGGCAATTGTAACTTTACATTTTCATTCTCCCTCAAAAGATCTAACAGTCATCATCATTACCCTAATGCCGAAAAGGCTTCCCCTATACTAAGCACAAACAGACTGTTTCCAAAGGACTCATAGTGAAAATCGCATCGAAAATTGCATGAACTGACTACTGCTTCATAACAAAGAAGCGTAGACAGTTTAGTGAGTCATTTTCTTTTATTCCAAAAGATCAGATAGTAGTGAAATCAAATGGAAGCTCATATAGAAGACAATTCTCTATTTTTTCAACTACATAGCTAGTGGTGTCTCCTAAAAAACATACTAGTGTGCTGTTATAAGTTTTAGGCTACACTTACATGGATTGTTTTTGACGTGTTCTTAAAAGTAGGCTCATTAGCTCATAGTAATCGAATTAGATAAACATCTATGTTAAGTTCCTTTTAGTTTCAATGAGGGCCTTTTTGTTGCATTTCAAGTTGGAACATACAACACTCGGAAACATTTATAGGTGAGAAGGGTAATATTTACAAATAAACAGGTACTCCTTAATAGATTTTTTTTTATGGTACTCCTTAATAGATATTAGATATTCAAAAAGGACATTTGATTTGGAAACAAAATTTTGAGGCAATTACTCCATAAAAGAGAAAGGGGACAATGCTTGATGTTTGTGAAATTTTTTTTATGTTATTTTGTCTGTGATGTTTGTGAAAGTTTTTTTATGTTATTTTGTCTTTGCAAATTTTGCACAAACAAAAATTGGCTGTAAACAGAACTCATAGACAAAAAAAGTCTTCACAAACATGGGTGGTTATAAAGTGGGTATAAGAGTGGTACAAACATTTAAATGATGAAATGAGCATTTCTCGATCTAATACAGAACGAGCTTTCATCAAATACAAACCAAGCATTTGGTATACTCAATATTGTATTGAATGAAATGTGAACTGAAAAGAATTATTATAAAAAGAAATTGCCTTTAATAGGAGTAAAACATAATGTGTTAACTACATAGGGGTTACAATTCCCCACTTAAGTATGATGTAATGTTGTTGTCTTGAAAATACTGCACATTAATATTGTCAAATTAGTGTGAGATGATGACTACATTGTACTCCTATGTACTCCCTCCGGTTCTTAATGAAATTTAGATTTTGACTTCACACATATTAAAGAAATAAATTTGACTTTACTGTAGAGTATACTGTTTGACATTGTTTGGCATTGTTTGACACTGTTTTGCATTGTTTGGTGTAGATTTGTTTGTCTAATAAGGCAAATAAGAAAGTGCAAAGTTTAATATGGGAAGATCCAAGGAGTGTAAAGTTAATTAAGAATCGGAGGAAGCAGGAAAATCGGATGATTTTCCTTCCTTAAAGCTGTACTTCTATTTTGGAAAACATTAACCCTACAAACGGAAAAACTATTTTGAGACGGCAGGAGTAGTTTTTATTCCTATTTTGGTAAATTTAGATAAATTTTCCTGATGTAATGAGCAAGTTGCAACATGAGCATAAGCTAAAGAAAATCACAAAAATACCGAATAATGAAATCTCCATTCTTCATCACCTACCAAAATAAGAAATGCAAAACGAATTTGCAATAACTCTATAAGTAACAAAGTAATTAAACGGGTAATGCTCCATTAATTAAATTATGTAACCTTCAACGTGAGGGACTGAAAGAGAATGAAAGGTGATGAGCTGAGGGTGAAGATTGGCATTAGATAGTTTGCGGCGAGCGGTTTGAGGGAGTAAGAAGGAGACAGAGTGGCCTCTTTTGGCGAGGTCGTTGGCTAGTTGGAGGAAAGGGAACATGTGGCCGTATGCCAGCCATGGAAACATGGCGAAGTGATGTCGGCGATGCTCTCTTGAATCCATGGCCGCCGCCGTGCTCCGCCGGAACCGTTTTGTGCTTTTCCAGTCACGTTCTATCAATACTACTGAGTAAATAGTGGTGTTTCGAGAGAGCAGAGTATACGTGTTTGATGCTCAGACTTTCAGGTACGGTTGACACTTAAATGTCAGTCTCTCACGTGTCGAGTAAATATACTCTTCTTAAAATATATGTTTTTAAGTTAATGGAAAAAAGTGAAAGTAAGGATAATTTGTCACTTTATTCTTATTTAGACGGTGGCGACTTTGAGGGCAGTTGAGCCAGGCAACTGTCTTGGGCCTCAACTGCCAAGAGGGCCTCCAAAAATTTTTACTCCGATATTAGTATTAGGAGTTATTTGTAGACCGCCAATACATCGAGTGATAATTGCAAGCAGAAATCGGCTTCATAGTTCACGTCTCACTATCCTTCCTTCATCAAAGTTGTAGCTAATGAAGTTTTCTATCCAACACAACTTGCAAAACTGGATTTGAATCATCCAATCAAAATATATGAATAAAATGGTGGAAGGTCGCATTCTGAAATCTCAATAGAGATTATCTGACTTCATCGTCTATTTTCACCTTGCTTCTCTCATATTCTCGCTATGGTGTTTTTATATGATTTGTAGCCCTTGAAGTTGGCTTTAATATGAAACTTGAATGGTGTTCTTTGGATGTTCCTAAGAAAATATATGCTTGAACGATTGATAGAACGTCATCCTGACCGCTCTTTTCAAGCACTATTCGTCTTCTTTTGATCTCGTACCTAATTTTAGAGCTTTTTTGTCTTCAAAACTTTGTCTTTAACACCTTACTGACCTCCAATGCTCCTAATCAATTCTCAAATGCTTCTCAACTCGTCCCTATTGCTTCTCAAACGCCGGTGTCAGACTCAAATTCCCTGATTTTGACTCCAAAAATACCAAAACTCGAACCAACGCCCGGTAAATATGACTTGAGCTTAAAATTGAGACTTATGAAGTTATTACTGATTTTGCACTTCAAAAGGTATGAATAATAGGCCAATAGGGTGTAACAAGTATAAGTTTGCCCTTGTGTTTTGCATATGTTTGCATTTAAAAATTTATCCTTTTGAATATTACAAACATTATATCGTCAACTTTGAATATGCTTTTTTTCATAAGGTGATTTTTATTCAATTTATGTGATTTTAAAAGTGATTTGTACATAATAAATATTTTTCGTCTGGGGCCTCCGAAATGCTCAAGCCGCCTCTGTATTTAGATACCTAAAATAGAAAATGGAAAATCATTTTGGGACAACCAAAATAGGAAGTTTTGCAAATCAAATTGGGATGGAGGGAGTTAAAAATTTTATTTTTTTTACCTAATGACTTTGTTATGATTATTAGGAATGATAATTGTGACACTAATAAATATCCGCAGTGATTGACTCTAGTCAATATTACAATTAAAGAATTTTTTGAAGGGATTAAACACTTATACTTACGAGTAAATGCACAATAATGACATGTGGAAGTCCGTCCATTACATCATTTTTTGGACCATTTAGTGAGTCAGATAAATTGTGTAAAGAAGTTGAAGAGGCCGAGAAGAAACCTAATGAAACCAAGAAAGAAGCAAGCAAAATCGGATTTAGGAAGGGTGTTAATGAAGACAGCCTTCAACCTTATGGGAGATGATTTTTCAAAGCTACTCACGAATCAGAGTAGAACGATGGTAAAAAATTGAATGATAGAAGAATGGTAGAAGATTCTTATTCGAAAGTAACAAATTTGAAAAGACGGAGATGCAAAACAAATATAATAAAATTTTCTATATATACCTTTTCCATTGAATGAATCATAATAACGCATTGGACCTTATGTTTTTTTTATTGTTTAGATTATTAGTTGCTTTGATGTTTTTCTTTGAATAAATTACTTCAATATTTACTTGTACATATCATTTTTTTTTATAAAACATCATAATTATTTTAAATAATGGCAATATTTAAATTTATATTGCAATTTACAAAACATTAAAAATTTTATTATTTATTAATTAAAACAATTGAAGAGGGTACATTCACAAACTTACTATATGCCTAAACTTTTGACAAAAAGTTAAAGTCAAATGAAAAATTAAAATATTAAACAAGATAATTAATTTCAACAATATGGGATAATATTATCATGGTGTATTATGTTTGACATTTAATTTTGAGAACTAATAATTACATATTTCAAGCACATTCAAAGCAATAAAATATACGGAGTAAAAGTCAACAACTTACTAATAACATCTGCACACACTTGACTTCATTGATATGTCCTACGAACAAAAAGAAAATTTGGTTACTACGGAGTACAATAACAACATCCAAGCTTTAGTCTTAAAAGATTTTGGATATGGCTAATACGAATCGATACATGATATCAGAGTCAAAAGAAAAAAGAAAGAAAGGAAAAACGATAAAGTATGATAAAAAAATAAAAAAATGCATTAAAGAGATATAAGATAGAAATATGAACGATAAGATAAAAGGAATAAAAATAATATATATAAAATAAAATAAAAAATGATAATGGATAAAAACAAAAGAAAGATACGGAAAATAAAATTATAAAAAATGATAGAGATAATCCGCCACATGCATACTTGTCCTTCACTTTGCTTACTCCAAAATCATATTCTCTTACAACCCAAGAAAAAACATATCATCCCTGACTTAATACACATATTTTTGGATCTTCTTTTCCTTCCCGCCTCATTTCCATACCTCTTAACTCGTCTAACAGGTATATCACTAAATCTTCTACACACATGAACAAATCACCGCATTGAGACTCTCACATCTTATCTTCAATAGGTGACACTCCTACTTTTGTTCTAATTGTCTCAACCCTACAACGATCTTTTCTAGCATGTCTACATATCTAATGCAACATGCACATCTCTATCACACTCGTCTTTTAAATGTGACTTTGTTTCATCTCCCAACACCCTACGCCTTTGATTAGTACGAAATATAATTTTAAAAGATTATAAAAAATCTGACGTTAAAAAAAAGGGATTAGGGAGAAATAATAAAAACATCCGAAACTTTGAAGGGGTGTGAAGTAAACACCCCAAACATGCTTATGTAATCTAAATACCCCAAACTTTATATAAAAAGCTATTTTCTCACCATTATCTATGTTTTAAAAACCGGACCAGGAAGTGACCCGACCACATGACTGGGTCACGGGTCAACCTGGACCCGGTGGGTCAACGCTGCAAAACTGGTCAACGATTTTATGTCCATATAGTAATAATAAACATAAAAACATATAAACATTACACTGTAATAAAAAGTAGTTATTATTCATAATAATCAACTAAGGATAATACTTATTAAGCATTTAATACACTCTCATTATATTCCAAAGCATAATTTGGTCCTATTAAAATATATAATGATATTTTTTATTTGTAATGTACTTATATAATATAATATGGCATGGGTTTTATTCCTAAATAAATATATAAATATATTACATACTTTTTCTTTTTAGGATATTGAAATTGCAATTTTATTGGTTTAAAAATGCATTAAAATTAAAAAAAGAAATTACTCTTTTTGGAAAAAACACCCAAAATAGGATTTTCCCGGGGTTTTCGGGTATTTTGGGTCCGGGTCTGGACCTGGTTTTCCAGGGTCAACCGGAGTTTTCCGGTTTTTGATCATTTCCGGGTTGAACTAACCGACCCGGTTTTTTTGTCTGGGTCAACCCGGCCGGATTGGGTCGGTTTTTTAAACAGAGACCATTATCGTGTATTATTTATTTCAAAAATGTAAATTTATGGGGTCAATTGCATAATTTAAAGTTGAAAATTAAAAGTGTTGCAATTATATAGATTGGGGGTAACATTATTTATTTCGCAATGAAAGTGTAGAACGTTAATTGTGTCTTCATGAATTCTAAAATATTTTAAATTATGCAATTAACACCGTAATTTACATTTTTGAAAGAAATACTCCCTCCGTCGCGAAAAAGTTGGTCAAATTTCTTTTTTTGGATGTTCCAAAAAGATTTGCCATTTCCATTTAAAGTAAGGAATATGTGGCTAAAATTAATTTTCTCTCCTCTGCACAAATTTCAACCACATAATTTTTACTTTATTAATCCCCGTGAAAGTCAACTTTTGCCAACCTTTTCGGGACGGAGGGAGTAATACTTTACAATGGTGCTAAAATAAGTTTTTTATATAAAGTTTGGGGTATTCAAATTACATATGCAAGTTTGGGGTGTTCATCTCACATAGGGGTGGACGGGGCCCGACCGGTACTAATGTTTTAGGCCTAAGGCCCAGTACCGGCCCGGGATTCCACCAGGACCGGTCCGGGCCGGTCTACAAGCCCGGGTCTCGGGCCGAACATTTTTTTTTTGAAATCTTGTTTAAAAATTAATTCAAGAAGTGCTACATATAAAAAAGTTAAAGTATATTTATTTGAAATATGAACCACAATTGAGAATTGAGAAAAATTTAAAACATTAAATACATTTCCTAATAATCAGTCAGAATCTTCGGCACCATCAGTTGTTGTTTCCTCCATGAATTGGCGGCTGGAGGCGATACTAAGTTCTTGAGTTCAACGTTTGGCCTTCAACCAAACATGGAAGCAAACAAGCGTCTCAAGAGATTTTGCGCTCAATCTCGTTCTATAATCCGTTAGGACGTTGCCGGCCGCACTAAATTCTTGTTCAACGACAACTGTTGATATCGACATTGCTAGGACTTGCTTAGCCATCTTTGATAAAATCAGGAACGTTCTTTCATTTTCCTTCCACCACTTCAGAACGTCAAAGTCATCATCGTCTTCATAGTCACTGGTGCAAAATTACCTTTTTGCGGCGCTTAAATCACCCAACGTGCGGCGCTTTTAGGCGCCGCAAATCTCGGTGCCGCAATTTAACGCGTGCGGCGCTTAATTTCAAAAAGCGCCGCAAATATTTTATTTTTAAAAAAATTATATTTAATATGTGTGCCGCGCTTTTTTGCGTATAGGCGCCGCAAAATATTTTTTTAAATTAATAATTTTCGACGTAACCGTGCGGCGCCTTTCTTTATATAAGCGCCGCAAATGTTTTTTAAATAAA